TTGGATCTGGCTGCCATCCATCAGCTGATGTTCCAGTACTTTTAGGCTTTCAGCTGCTACTGTCATCACACGCTGAAGCATCTGAAGTCACATGATACAAAGACGTTCTAGATGTCAAATAACTTCTAATGAAATACATCTTTAATCAGTTTCAGTGAGAAATTATTAGCACTCAAATCGACAAGTACACAAACCTTCCACAGAATGATCCAGACACTAAAAAGTAGCACAAGCTTTACTTTACTGCTCTTCTAAACTGAGTGACACTTTATAAATCCAAAATGCCCCTTTCATCAAACAAATTTATACATTTTGAAAAAAATATGTCAATGTACAATGATCGAAGCAGAACAATTCTCCCTCAAAAATACTATTTTTTAAAACACTGTAAAGCAATATTTTTAAAAAATCAATCAGCTTTTAAGACAAAAATTCTGTCGAAGTGAATATTTTAGGTTCTGATATCTATGCTATGGTTAAAACTAATGAGACATTTAAATGTTGTGATCTTGAAAATCAAACATTTTCTGGATTACTGAATAATTTGTTCATGGGCTCCCCCTAGTGGTGTCTTGGAAAAACTGCAGAAACATCTGGGCATCAGAGTTTTGCGAGTTTTGAATGAAGTCACATGGACATGTGTGAATCAGTTTGGCAGTGCCATGTCTTCCTGGAAAATGAAGTCAGCATCTATATAAAGCTCTTCAGCAGAATGAAGTGCCACGACTTTGGACTTAGATCAATCAGTGGAAAGCCACCAGGTAAGATGGCTTCCTACATTGTTATACCATGCTAAAGGGATATTCTGCAAACCTCTTTGTGAGACTAGATGAGAATACCATACAATTTCCTCCTAATTACGTCACTATAAACACGTCACAGCTCTACCCTCTGTTTTTTCCCGGGAGTATAAAAGAGAAGCTTGCTTATTGAGACTGCATTTGTTGGAGGGCCAAGGCTGGAGAGCACAGGAAACTTAACTGGGTCACTATGGGAGGATGCTGGGTGCTTTACTTTCATTTGCAACTTTGTGCCACTGGACTCTTTGCTCAGATTCAAGCACAGGAGTACAAAACAAAATATTTAACTTACTTCTCTACGACAGAGGACGGCAATGAAAGGCAGCTGGTGAGCTACATGTTTTGCTATCACCTTTATTTGGTGTTTGTTACATTGGCATAGATTCATGCTATTAGGAAGAGGGGGGATAATCTGACTCCCATTTTACTCCCATTTAAATGATTAAATGACTCAATTCTGGTTTTGCAGATCAATGACTTACATCAGGTTTTGGAAAGACTTCAACACAATCAATTTCCAGCTCTAAGAAAAAAACATAGCCATCTGCCAGCGGTAAGAAATGCAACAGATCAGTCTGATTAAAAAGCATTTACTAATGATTCATGTTTCCCCTGGAGGATCAATAAAGTATATTCTATTCTATTTTCATGTATGTTGTTTTATTTTCAGTGTGATCCAGGAGAACAATGTGCTTTAAGAAAAGGATCCAGGATTGGAAAACTCTGCGACTGCTCACTTCCCAGGACATGCAACTCCTTTCTCCACCGCTGTTTATAATTCTCAGCATATTCAAATAAGTCTAATGAAGAAGTTGTACACTGTAAAAAAATGTGAAAATAACTCAAATATATACATGCACTGTAAGTATCCAGCCTGGCCTCACTCATTTCTGTTCATAAAAGCTATTAAATGGGTTGTTGCAGTTATGTTTTAGCTGACCTGCACGCTGGGTGCCCGTCTGGTCCACAAAGACATCTTCTTGTCTTTAGGCGTTGCTATAAACATGACGGGCAGAGACTCCCTGGAGGCCATAAAGTCATTCTTGATCTCTGTGTACTCTGCGGCTGCACGTGACAGAGAGGTGAACAACAATGCAACTTGACTTAGAAACATTGGCTCATATCGGCAGGATGTGAAAGCTTGCCGGGAGTGTAAACAGAAAGAGGTCGGCAGGGGTTTGTTTTGCGGTTGAGAAACGGGGGTGTGGGAGGGAGAACCTGCCTGTGAGCTGCATGTTGAGGTTGACTACCAGCGGGTTGTTCCTCCAATCAAAGGCGGAGAGCAAACGAAGGAATCGGAGGAAACCCGCCTGCGGAGAGCTGAGGAAGAGGGAGAAATTCATCCACATGACCTACTAAACAAAGCAGGCCAACTGCTGGGATACGTGCCCTCCAAGAGTTAGACAGATGATTAAAAAGTAGCAGTAGCATTTACCCTGGAGGAGTAAAGGGGGCAGGCTGCAGGAAAAGCGATGCCACCAGCAGATCGGCCGTGTCCTCTGTGATGTCTTCGCTGAAGAGCTGAGCCGCCAGCCAGCGCTTAGCCAGGCGACACACGGCTCCAAAACATGGCTGCTGCTGCTGGAGACTTCAAACAACAACAAACGAGATGAAAAGCAGCAGACGCACGTGAGCATGGAGGATAATAGTGAAGAAAGTGGAAAGAGAAATGACCTACAACCACCACACAACCAATTCAAAAAACATTTAAAGAAATAATAATAAAAACACATGAAAGACCTCTAAACTCGAGTTTCAAATGCAAACTCAACAAACGTACCCATGCAATGTGCTTGTAAGGAGAGGCTTGTGAATTGTGGCCATCTCCAGAACCTGGGCCTCCTCATTGTCCCTGACAACCAGCAGGCCTTCAGCATTCACACTCTCCCTCAGCACCTGAGGCTCACGGTGGTACGCCACCTGGATCCGGAACACCAAACCATCCTAAAAGCAAAAATATGTAAAAAATGCTTAAAAACAAAATTATGCCACTTATTAAACAGCATGCCAGACAGATTATGATAGCCAGGTGGCAATTTTGATCAGATATAATATCTTTGCAACCAAAATCTGCATAAGCCAAACAGCAAAACTTCAATAGAACTGTAAAATGACAGCAGTATATACCTTCCACACGTCTAAGTGAGTGGGACAGGGCGAGCAGGTATAGTTGTGGTGCTTCTTAAGCATCTCCGCCAGGCTGATGTGGAAAGCAGCTCGAATGTGGCGGATTGCAGTTCGGTCATGAGGCCATTTGCCACTCCCCTCCATGTGACAAATAACTGCAAGAGCATAAAACGGGAGCATATGGGATTATAAAAATGCAAGAAGTATTCAGGTATACACATACCATACTTTTTTTTTTTTACATTCTGTTACAACCCTGAACTTTGGTGTGTTTTACTTGAGTTTTATGAGTTCAACACAAAATAGCACATAGGAAAACAATATTTGGCTACAAATACGTTTTTACAATTAAAAGTCAAAGCAGTGTAGTGTATTTATACTCAGGTCTCCTGAGTTAATACATTGTAAAACCACCCTTGATTGCAATTACAACTTGTTGACACTTGGGGTCGCTATACAGGGTGTAGTACTCCTGAATTATCATAGCCCTCTTGTTTGGTTCTGATTTATGTACTCGTATATTCTGAGATTAAAAACTGCACACAGGTAGACCATCTACCCATTAGATGACCCTTTCATTTGGGTATAACAGATGAGGACCTGAATACAAAGATAAGCTACTATATCAGACTCCTATTTTAAAAAAAAACAGGAAAAATGTGTAAGTGTGAAAACCTCTTAAATCCTTTTCAAACCAAAACTTCACGTATAAATTATATTTATCACATAAAATACCAATAAAATACACTAAAGAGAAAACGTTGAGGGACATGCGTACTTTAATGAACTGTGCATTTGGGGAAGAATTTTATCTAAGGTGAAACTCATGTTTAATTAGAAGAAGTTATGCCTATTTCTGAAAACAAAAAAAAAAAAAGAGTCAACTCAAAATTAAGGCCCAGGTTACATTTACGCAACCAACACGCCATTGTAAGTAAATGACAACAGAAAACTTGTTCAACAGCTGCTGGATGTCTCTGCACCAACCTGTTATGGGAGTGAGATAATGTGGACAGGGTTTGCCTTCCTTTGGGACCAAGAACCTGCAAGTCTTTTCTCGCTCAAAGAAGGAATTGTCCAGCCTCACTGGCTCTGGAGGAAAAACCTGGGAAGCAAAGCTGAAGAGTTAGAACCACAGGGGAAGCAAAGTTCATCAAGCATCAAGAAAGTAGAGATGCTTGCTATTATAGACGACAAGTATTACCTGTGTGTATCTAAGGGCAGGGTGGGCTCCCTGGACTGCAGTGATAGAAAGTGGCAGACCTTCCAGTTTCCACAGTTTCCTGCTCAGATCATCATACGACTGCACAACGACTAAACTCTCCTCTTCCCCAGTGCTTGGCACCTAAAAAGCATATCAGTGAGCAGACTTTAAAAAGTCTGATCTGAATAAATCTAACAAAGCAAACTTTTAAAATTGTTCTAAAAAGCAGACAAGCACAAATTTTGCATTACATATTATTTTTTTCTTTTATAGAATCTTTAGCACTTTCTTGAACTAAGATATATACTGGATTTCCAGCTGGACGAGTCTAAATGCAAGTAGCCAACAAGAAGGTTTTAGTTTTTAGCCTATTCACACAAATATTTTATTATGAATGATATAGAGAAAGAAAATCCAATTGAACTAAGATGGATTGTCAGCAAATGCAAGACATCATAGCAGGACGTCCTTACACTAAGACAACAACAAAAATTTGACCTTAAAACAAAAATAATTAAAACATTATATTATCAACTATTTAAAACAAAAAGCGACAATTCTTCGTACTTCTCCAAAAATAATAGGACATTATTGGTATTAATGATGTCTGTCTGTCTGACATTATACATGTATGTATGTATGTATGATACATACATGTAACATGTCATTTTGATAAACAGATTTGATTAGCACTGTAAAATGTGCGCTACAAATAAATTTCACATAAAAACTCGAGTTAATCTAAGCCTTCGCAGCTTTTGTAATGAAAAAAAAGGCTCAATCTCAAATATTTACCTCATTTCCTGTTGTGATGACGTCATCTATCATGGTCCCTACAAAACGCACACAGGACTCTGGGATACCTGCGTGTCTGATGGAAAAACAAAAGGGCTTTGTTGTTGTTGTTGTTGTTCATTTTTAAAATACAAGCCGTGAACAGAAGATTTGCTCAAAGAGGCTTTGGACGTCTGGCTCCTTTGTTCGCCAGAGCCGTCTGCAGCAGCAGCAGCAGGAGGAGGAGGAGGGGGCGTCACCACGGCGAGTTTGGCTTTTAAACCCCGATTTCAAAGGATGAAGCGCACGGTGAGGAGACGGAGCTCCGCGTGGAGCTACTTTGAACAAGTGGGCGCGAACTTCGTCCGCTGCAAGAAATGCGACGCGGAGCTCAAGTACTGCGGCGGAGCCACCAGCACCATGATATCCCACATGGCCGCGAAGCACCACGTGTCCATTCCGCTGCGGTCCGCGGCCAGGGGCTCCTGGAGCGAGACGCCGCCGAGCTGGAGGGCTCCGGACGCCGAGGAGGAGAGCGCGTTCAGCCCGGAGCGGGAGAGGCGGAGGAGCAAGCGGAGCTCCGTGTGGGACGTTTTCGTCAGGGTGGACGAGGAGGTCCACTGCAAACTGTGCGACACCAAGCTGAAGTACATGAGCAGCACCACCAGCATGATGTACCACATTAAAAACAAGCACACAGAGAACCCGCAGAACAGCAGCGTGGCCATGCCCACGCAGGCGCAGGTAACTAAACTCGTCACGAACATGATAGAGAAGGACATGTTTCCTATCAGCGTGGTGGACGGGGACGGCTTCAGGGAGCTGCTGGCGGATATTGTGCAGAGCTATAATGTGCCCTCTGCTGATGACGTCACGCGCAGCATTGAATGCCATTATCACGAGAAGGCAGCAGACCTCAGGCTGCGGCTGGCTGCAGTGGAGAAAGTGGCTCTCACCGCTGATTTCTGGACGGCCATGCCATCTCAGAAGTACATCACAGTGTCCTGTTCATTCATAACAGAGGACTGGCAGGGGAAGTCAGCTGTGCTCCACACACACAAGCTGCCCTCAGGGGGCCAGCTCACCGCTGAGTGTGTCGCAGAGAAGCTGCTCAGTACAACACAGGCCTGGATGATTGCAGGAAAAGTTCCCACATGTGTGCATAACAACAAAGAAAACATCCAATTAACCCAGGGCGTTGCCCAGGCCACCTGGAACTACGTCTCCTGCTTCGCCACGACGCTGCAGCTCGCCGTCTCCGACGGGCTGAGCGAGGACGTTCTCCAGATCGTCTCCGCCGCAGGGAGACTGGTCCGACACTTCAGCCACAGCTCGCTGGCGGCCGAAGCCCTCAAGGAGAAGCAAGCGCAGATGTGTCTGCCGCAGCACAAGCTCATTAGGTCCCACAGAGCCAGGTGGGACACGGTCTGCGACATGTTCCAGTGCTTGCTGGAGCAACGATGGGCGATTAAAGCCGTCCTCTCAGACCGCACAGTCACCAGCAAGCATGAGGCCCAGACCCTGGAGATTGGAGACGACTGCTGGCAAGTAATAGAGAACTTTACACCCGTCCTGGCGACTTTGAAATGGGCAACGACGGTCATATCTGCCGAGACAGAGGTGTCCATTTCAAACATCTACCCGATAACGTTCAGCCTCATCCAGACTCATCTCGTTCCAAAAGAAAACGACGTGGATCAAGTCTCGAGTTTCAAACTCGCAGTGCAGAAATCCCTAAGAGATCACATGGAGGTATTCTGTCTTTAATCAGTTATTTTTTATCTTAAAGTACAAAGAGTCTTTGCACAATTATTGAAGTGATTTTACTATTTGCAGGTGGACTCCAGTGACTTGGCTTCCAACCCAGCTCTGATCGCCTCCATGCTGGATCCTCGACACAAGCACCTCAATTTTCTGATGCCAGCAGGGAGGCTGGCTGCCAAGGTGAAGCTGCATGAGCTAGTCTTGAAGATGGACGCCAGCTCAGCAAGCCCCAAAGATGAACAACTGGAGACTGAGGTGACACCTGACCTCAGCCAGATGGCCACAGCCAGAAAACCACCGAGCGACACCAAAAACACCATGATGTTGCTTCTGGGAGACAACTACAGCTCGTCTTATGCCACGGACTCTGAAGCTCAGGTCGATTACTACCTGAGAGACATCGCTCCCTCGCTCGACATAAACCCTCTCGATTGGTGGAGGTTGAATGAACCGAGGTTCCCAAAACTGGCAAGTCTGGCGAGGGAGTATCTGTGCATACCGGGCGTGTCGCTGCCGTCTTTGTTATCAGATGCGGGGCAGAGCTTTGCAGCGATGCGAACAAGGCTTAACCCAGAGCATGTAAACATGATGGTCTTTCTGAACAGAAATGCATCAATATAGCAAAACAGGGATGCACTGAATGCCTGTTGCAAAATTTAGAAGCAAAAAGCAGAGATGCGAGGAAAGTATTAAGTAAGTTGCTGCATGCAACCTATGACAATTCATTTAAGTTGCAATTTTTATGAAAATGTTGCATCTGAGCTCATAGTCTGGGTTTAGAACAGTTTTTTTCCCCCATTAGTCAAAAGCAGGCTGCACTGTTGCCTTGCAGCAGTGGACTAACTGTAATAAAATGCACAGATGGTCCAAAAAAAAAAGTTTGTTTCCTTATCTATTAAATAAATTCATGTTTAAAAGAAAAGTTTAAGTTGCTAAAGATTCAATGTGATTGTGTTTAAATCACATTTTCAAACACTAAGTATAGTTAGTAAAGCAGCACCATTTCTTTTTTTAAAGAGAGGCTAATTAAAATCAACTTTTTCATAAAAGTCTGCAAGGTGAAAACAGTAAATAAAATTCATTGGTTTGACTACAATGTTGCATTTCAAGTATTTCCTCATGAACATTTCTCTGGTTTCTCCCTGTATGAAGACACTGGATGAAGCTAAAATTTAACAGGGTGGAATTTTGTTTTTCCGCCTCAAAATGAATCACGATGACAAGATGAACAACTTGTGAAGTCTGCAAACCTATTTTTGTTTCACCTTTAACTTCAACAGTTTATTTTCACTGAAAGTACATGAACTGGAATCTGTGAGTGAACATAAATGATCTGATCAAAAAGCCAATTTTGTTTTTTGTGAGGTTTTGTGAAACTACCAGTAATTATTCCCTTACCGGCAGAAGAGTTATGACATATCACAGTGAGGTTGTAGACAAGTTAATTCTCAGTTGTGAAAAGCAGATGGCTAACAAACAAAATAATTATATAATTTGTATATAATCCAACATTACCCAAGATTAACCATTTACCATCTTTAAAAGAAACAATCCTTAAGTTTGTTGCCATTTTATCTGCATCCATCTATACCATCTACTGCAAAAAAGCTTTATAAAGAAAACCTCTTGAGTTTGCATCAAACTGTCATTTATGCAAAAGCATTAAAACAGTCCTGTGCTTTTACAGGTGGCAGTCGGATAGAAATGAGGGCCTAAAGTGATGCAATTTCATTTAAAACAGACATTTGGCTAATGAACAGCAACAACCTTCATGTCATCCTCCACTGGAAATGTAATTATTGTAATCCATTAATGTAGTTCTGTATGTGATGTCTATGCACATTTTCAGGTTGAGTTTATTATAATCAATAAAAATGGGGGACCCTGTTCGCCTGGCTGTGAAACTTCAACCATTCTGGGGATTTTACTTTTTGAAAGAAAACTCACTGTGGTGTACAAGCTCTCAATCCAAAGAAAACCGAATCTGGTTACAAAGTGGATACGATTGCAAACTATAAATTGGGATAAAAACCACAGAAAAAAATACATTAGCTATTTCTAGAATTGTAACATAATTAAGATGAGTTATTCCTACACCTGGAAGATTTAGACTTAAATTCTTTCAGCCAAGAAGTTGGTTTCTGGAAGGAAAAGAGACATGCATGTCTCAGAAGACTGGAAAACTATGTGAGAATTTCGATAAAAAAAAAAATAAAAAAAACCCTTTAGTGGTCATATAATGAGAATATCCTTCCTATAATTAATGACCAGCTTCATGCACATTTCCACAGGGATTTGTGTTAGCACTGATCATCAGCTCCTAGTCTTTGAGGTTTGAAGACCTCCTTCCCATCACCCTGATCTTTTAATTCTCTACACACATTCAGGACTCTGGCTGGGCTACTCCAAAGTATTAAAAATTCCTTCCAGTCATAAGAAACGCAGTAAAATAAATATAAATCTGCTAGAAGTATGAATTACTTTGGCCTTATTAACAGGAAGAAATGTGTGAACCAAACTAAAGAACCGCATTTCTACCAGTGATTTCCATCAACCCCGTTAAAGTGGCATACATACAGCTGCAGTAAGTGTGTGATGATCTGTTTGGGGACCAGCCTCTTTTGGTAGGCGCTCTTTCCGTCCCACAGCACCGCCTCGGTGATGGCGCCATCCTGGAAGCGACGCAGCTCAGAGCGAGAGCCCCACAGCTGACGGAACTCAGCCGCCTGGGGGAGAGACGGCACACCGGTTTCCTCTTTTTAAAGTTAAAACATCAGGTTTCATTTAAAAAGAAAGGGAACTAACTAAACAAAAACGTCTTAGCGTTGATGTAAAATAATAAAAAAATATGTTTATTTTAAGGTTTTTATGTAATCTGAAATCTTAATTGATTAAAGCTCAAAATTTTATTAACATAACTCAAACACAGAAAAAACATGTTTTTTAAATACTAGTGTTGCAACATCTAAACTCTCCTTAGTGGTGACAAAATGACCATAACTCTTTAGCCTCAGTAAGGAATCAATGATTACTCCCATAATTACCTTGGGGCTGTCTGCAGGTGGCCCTTTTTCCAGGACAGAAGCTGCTAGCTCTGGATTCAAGAGCAAACCAAATGAAAGCGGAGGCTGAACCTTGTACTTTGGTGTTTCACTCTCCACAGACCACTTTAAGAAAAGAGAGAAAACACACACACATATATATATATAAGCTCATATGATAGCCTATATTTTACTCGACTAGGTTTAGAGAATTGTCCAACCTCTGGGTCAGGAGACAGGGAGTGGGTGAGGAGGCGAATCCTTTGGTTGAGTCCTTGTTGGAGCAGCGCCAGAAGAAACGGCAGCACAGTCTGGACGTAATTCCCACTGTGGTCCATTAACTCACTGAGCAGGTTCTGTTTCTTACAGCTAGCCTGGAGCTTAACCAAGTCACATAACCTGAGTGGGGGTTTAATAGAACAGTTCTTTTCTTAAGTCGAGATTAAAAAAAAATCCTGAGGTGAATAGCTTCACTTCACCTCAAGTGAGGTGTGTAATCCAGCCTCTAATGTACTTTTTCTCCAAAAAAAAGTACATTAGAGCACAAATCTTGTGCAGTGGAAAAAGGGTAAGTGGTTAAAAATCTTAAGTGTGGCACACACAATTTTTAGGTGGAGGACTCTGAATTTGTTCATATTTTCAATAAATTAAATCATTTTAACCCAGCTGAATTAATGGTAGTTTTGGTTGTCATGTAACAAAATGGGAAAAAAAGGCAATTTTTTTCTGGACACTGCAGATGGATTGAATTGAAAGAGCTCAAACATACTGGAAGACACAGTCGCTCGTCCTGATCATTGGCTTGGGAGTCATGAGGAGGCAGTGGAAGCCGTCCACCGTTGGGTCGTCCCAGAACTGCATTGAAACAGACGCCTCGTGCTGCAGCTGGACACCAAAAACATCAAGCCAGGTCAATTAGAGTCACTGGGTACAAACATCGTAACTTAACCAGCGCTTGGTGTTAGAAGTAGTTGCCTGTTTATAGGTGGAAGCGGTCATGTCTGCACACATGTTAAGATGTCCTGACGGGTCAACAAACACAACCTGGAAAGTGTTGTGGAACTCAGCAAGAGATGGCTGCAGGAAAAAAAAAAAAAAAAACGACAAAGAAGACAAGGAAAATATTGGATTTTGAAAAGTGAAAGTCTGGACAAGTGAACCGTTTCACATTTGAGTTAGTGTTAGTTCTCTCACAGCTGTGGAGTCAGGATCCTTGGCTAGACTTATCCCGCTCACAGTCAGGTCCGTGGAAGCTAAAAAGTGAAGAAGAATTGAGTATTCCCAAATACAACACAGTCAAATTTTGAGTCTCAAAAACAAAATTCGCAGATCTAGGCTGCTACTAACTTTACCTAAGAAATTCAAGCTGTTTCGAAGCAGCTGATAAGCTGTCATGGTGTTACTGATCCGGCGATTCATCAACAGGTAGGCAAACAGCATGGAGGCGAGGAATCCATTGAAGCAACCAGTACCCTGACAGACAAAAATACAGCTTTTGATGTCTTGAAGAGATAAGGAATATGAAAAGTATGTAAACCAACCTGATCCAGCTCTCTTTGATGAAGCCAGACTTTCAGCAATGCTACCCCATCGGAAAAAGCCGAGCACTGGGAGCTAATGGCAGACAGAAACTGGAGGTGAGCCCTGGGCAATAAATCTCCCAAAATAGAGCAGTTGTAGTGTGGAGTCGGAGGTTCGCTGTTCTCTGAAACACAAATAAATCAGGAACATTTGATAATCAGAAAAATCTTAACGAAGTTTAGGAAAACTACATGCTCACTGTCAGAATCAGGCTTCTGGCAAAATACAGATTTTTGACTAGTCACATGAAAGTGGTAGAGTTCATTCCAGAAGCTTCATGTAAATCTGCATTATCAGTTCCAAAATGGGTTTTAACACATGCTTTGGATCTTTGTCCTGTTGGAGAAGCCAACCATGTCAAAGTTTCAATCATCTGACCCAAAACGTCACCTTTGGACAACAATCATATGGAGATTTTTTGGTCACAACAGTACCGCAGTGAAAGCATGGCAAGTGGTACATGCTGCCAGTGGTACTAGTGGATTTGACCAGAAAAGTATCATTCTGACCCTCATTGAAAACATTCTGCAATAAATTCAAACTTGTATACCCATTTTAGGTCAAAATGTCCTGAAATTGTATTATTGCCAAACTTGACACAAAAATGGATGGACAGATTGGAACCCATTTGTCAAATTACTGATAATCAGGGGGGGAAAATGTGGTTATTAAATAGATGGGAAAAAATGTTATTCAAACAAATAGCATCTCTACCATCGTGGGAAGCCTGCAGTCCTGTATACCACTCTGTCCTGATGTTGTTCCTCTGGGGGTGGAAACGACTGGGTTTGAAGAACCCAGGAGGCGGGCAGACATGAACACACACAGAGAAGCTAAAAGAGTCTTTGCCTGAAAAAAAAAAACAAACAAAAAAAACAGCAAAAGGTCATCAAAACGCATCTGATCTCAGATAATATATAAACAATGTCATTAAAATATTGGAAGAAATTTGTGTGGTGGGCAGTTCATTTAAAATTATTTACCAGGGGGACTCAGCAGCAGGACCGGTTTGAGTCTGTTCCCATGGAGACAGGAGTAACGCAACTCCCCGACATCAGAGGAGGATTTCAGGTGTTGGGCAAGTCCTGCAAGATACAGGGCCCTTTTCCTTGGATACCTCTGGTTTAAGAAATCTTTTGGGTGCAAAACATCCTAACAGGAAGGAATAAAACAAACAGTTGTCAATAAATCAAGATTTTTATTTCACAACTATAATCAAGTCGGGATCAAACCAACACGGAGGTTTTAAGGGACGGCTTACAGCTGGGATCGTAGCAGCGAGGTCCACCTTGATGTGTGGCTTGACACAGGTGCCAAGGGGGTAGCTCCCGATCAGATCAACGGACGCTGGAGGGGCCATGTGAAACTTTCCCTTTGTGGCTTTGGGCACCAGGAGAAAAGGAACCTTAACTGTTCCAGACAGCCACGACAAATCGCTTACCTGAGCACAGAGTGAGAGATTGTGTGACAAATCTGGTCGCACATGCCTAAGTGTTCAACAAAAAGAATACTCTGTGTCTAACTGTGAAGTCTGTTCATTTCTCAGGACAATACACACCTCAACCTTTGGTGACACCGGCACAGTCTCGAGCAGCTTGGTGACGGTCTTAACGAAGGAGTCGATTTGCTGTTTCCTCCGTTCACTCAGGGAAACCTCCTTCAGCAGCTCCTCCATCTCAAATAAGTACAAAAATGCATAATTATAGCAAAAATAGAAGTAAAATAACAGGAACATCATAAGTTGATGTTGTTTAATACGTAGATCTTAAACATTACATAAAATGACCATTTTTTTTAGACAGTCTTCCAGGCTGATTCAGAGTGAGAGAAACAGGAGAGAAGCCTCTCACCTGCATCTTAAGAAGGCTGCAGTGGAACAGACTTTCGGCTTCTTTTAGGTGATTCAGCTCCTCGGCTGTTGGTGGTCGATATAAATCATTCCGGGATAGTTTCACCGGATGGTAGACCACCTCCTCCTCTTCACTGGATTTCATCCTTTTGGGTTTTTTCGAAGCGCCAAGCTGTTCCTCTTCATCACCATGGGAGAAATCAGGTGGATGCATCTGGAGAACAAACGACAATGAATCAACTTCAACGTGCCGCAACATATAAAGACACAGACGCAGCTCAATAAATTAGGGAACCATGAAAAAGTTTTACTCCAGTAAAACTCAGATGTCTCCCCCACACAAATGCAATTGAAAGAAAAAAATGTATATGAGAAATGTCATATTATGGCCAACACATTTCATAGGGAACACCACTGACTTGAACGTTGTCCAGTAAACGGCGATTCACATCTTTATTGAGGAGGTAACACATAAAAAGCAATAGCTAAAGAGGCTGTTTATTCAGAGATTCCACCTGTAATGATGGGAAGTTGAGTGGAAAGAAAAACTGTGTTCTAAAAAGATGTCCAGTTAATAAAGATAATTAGAGCCTTGAGAGCAATACACTAAATTCTGTATTATATTTTTCTGTTCTGTAAGCCTTAATTATACATGTTAACAGAACTAAAGGCTCACCTTGTGTGTGTTCAATCTATTCATTGTGTTTTACATCCTGAAACAACAACTTTCCAAAATATCCTAATTAAAACGAGGTACTAGCATTGATATCAGCATTTAAAACCTATTCCAGTAAAAAAGTGAAGGTCTGCAGGCGACAAAAATGTGGATCAAATTAGATGATACAAGTCATCGCAGGAAAAAAGGCTAGCTCTCTGCAACAGCACAACACTGACAATTAGCTCCCATGCTACTAAACAGAACCAGACAACTCTCACCTCTACAGGCTCTTCGGTTACTGTCTGCTTCTTTTTCATGTTGTAAAATGTTTCGTCGCAGGAATGAGGTAAACACGTCGTTAAGAAATACAGCTTAACACGGCTTCCTCTTCATCATGGTCTCACATGTGCCAAGGGTTCGTCTAGCGTGCTACATGCGAAAATAGTTCTCTGATTGGCTCAGAGAGACGGTGGAAAATTGCGATTGGCTTTTTCCTGTCAGCATTCACGCCTACGTCAGCAAGGTAGGTTGCACGAGCACCGCTCTTGTGTCAGTGTCTGAGGGAATGTGGCTTTTTACTAAATGATTTCGGACAACACAATGTTTTTACCTTTTCCAAATATAATTATGGTTTTCTGAAAGTTTTATTTGTGTGCCATAAGGCTGTTTCTATTTTCCATCCGAATAAAACATAAATCATAGTTTTTATTTTTGTCAAACTTTGATGTTTAATATCTATATATAATTCGTATTATGGTTGGTTTCTGTCATTACTCATTGGGGCATGTTAATGCGCTAAGTTTCATTATCAGTTTTTACATCTGGCTCTGAAATTGTATTTTGTGTTTCAGAGAAATTAATGTGTTGAAGCCAGACTTTTAGTCTAAAAGCAAGGTCTTCCAAAAGAAAGAAACAACAACTTTATTCAGCCAGGATGGTCACATTGAAACACAACATCTCTCAGTATGGGATTCTGGTGAAAACAGTGGCATAAATGCTTTTGGATAGCTGGAAAGATAGAAAAGTTCCCAACTTTGTCTTATGGACATCAGCCATAAATAAATGTTTGCAAACACCAGAGCTTTTGCTGTTTATTATTTCTTTATTTCACATCGAGAAAATCTTTTAAAACATTGCCAGTGAAACAGAAAATTCTGATTACATGTAGGAATGTATGACTTAAAAACAAAATAAACTTTTATCACTATTTTCTCATAAAGGACAAAATATAACTTGCTTGTATAACATTGAGTTTTTTTTTCATCTTGTCATTAAGATCTAGATTATCTTTCTCCTTAAGCAGTGACAGTCATGTTAACTCTTTCAATCAGCTGTCACCGTTCTTGGTCTGCATTATTGGTGTGACTCGAGGTGTCGAGGCAGCAGCAACCTGGTCGGCTGAATAAATCGGCACAGCGACGTCACTCGGTATCGGCTTCAGATTGGTAGCCTGCGAAGGATAGCTCATTTTGGGAGGAATACTTTTAGCAGCTTGAGAATCCGAGAGAGAAACCCCTTTGGCCAAAATCATCGTGTCGAGCCTCAGTGGGCCAAAGAGCGCATGCCGTTCCTTGTCCTGCTTATGCAGATGGATGCTGTCGTCGATTTTTTTCTGAAGCCTTTCTGGTGATTCTTTGGATATGGTTTTTGACGATGTCTCCACCCTTTTAGATTTCTGCTTAGTCAGTGTTGGCTCCAGTCTGGGTAATCCACAAGGTCTTCTATGTCTGGCGAAGTCATCGACAATCTCATACTCTGGGGAAATGCAATGTTGAGGCAATCGTTTAGGATCCAGCTTTGGTATTGGGTGGAGGTCTTTGCGGTGATATACCAGTGTGGTCTGGCTAGCAACGCTGTCTTTGTCTCCACCTTCTACCTCTACTTCCACCTCCACATTCTTTTTCTCTGACAAAGGTGGCAGAGGTGGCAAAGATACTGGGACTTTTCTTCTAGTAGCTTTGGGGGGCTTTTTCACCGGAAGGATCTTCTTTCTGTCACTTCTTGCTGGGGGACCAGTACTAGAAACAGTAGATGAGAGGTCACTTTCATCCTTCTTGTGCTTTTCTTCAATTTCATCATGCTTTAAAGCCCAGAAAGCCCAGGAAGAACGCCTCGATCGCCTTCGGAAACTTGAGTCTGATGATTCTTGGTCACTACCAACCTCCTGTGAGAAAGACATAGAAGAACATTTAAAGGTTTTCATACCCCTTGAACTATTTTACATTTTTTCACAATATTGCTCCAAACCTTAATTTAGTTTATTGGTATTTTATGTGATAAGCCAAGGTAAAGTAATGGATTGGGTGAAAAGTGGCACATGGATCTCAGCATGTGTAAAAGATAAAAACAAAAAAAGTGTGGAACATTTTGTCTTTGCAGAACAACTCAAGCACAATCAGATGGGATCTAAGAACATTACCTCTTTCATCTTGCCACAGATTTTTAGATTTAGGTTTGAACTTTCTAAAATATGAATTTGCTTTGATTGAAATGATTCTGTAATGACTCTGGCTGTAGGTTTAGAGCTGTTGTACCTCTGGACTGTAAACCTTCTGAAGTTTTTTGTGGCCTCAACCTTCCAGGATTGCACTGTATTTGGGTCCAACCATCTTTCGATCAACTCTGATCAGCTTCCCTGTCCCTCCTAAACACAAAATGCTGCCACCACCATCTTCCGCTATAAAGATGATGTGCTCAGTGGCATTTACTTCTCTACCGATGGAAGCCAAGGCATTTCATTTTGAGCTCACCTTGTTGTATTTATAATGAAATTAATCTCAATACATGCAAAGTCTATTTACTAGATACTTTTGAAGGAAATGTGTAGCACAACACTTTATTTAGGGGCATCAGAGTAAAATCAATTAAAAATTAACAGAATGAACATCATACCTTTCTAATGATGTTTGTGCAAATAAACTTGAAAACCATGTATCATTTTCTTTGTTCTGCCCCATCATCTCCAAACAAATACGCTCAGATCTCTGGCTATACCATCAGAAAACATTAAAAGGGAGTACGAACGCTCCAGCAATGTCTAAGATTTGAACACAAATGTATTTTTGAATGAGCTTTGAAAACAATATTTAAATAAGAGTTACGCAGCCAGTGTACCTGTTGCGAAGTGCAATGAGACTGACTTACAATATTGATTGTAGGCACACATCCTTGGGCCCAACAATCTGGAATAGCAGTCACAGGCTCAAGGTCTTCTGTTGAAGCTAATTCTTCTGGTTCCTCTCCTTGGTCCAGGCACAAGACTTGGCACTCCACAGTCTTAGTGAGGTAGTTCTTGACCCAGGACACGCTGTATGGTACAAGCTTGAACGCAAAGAGCAGCAACATACAGTCATTTTCAAAAAATTAAAATATGTGTTTTGATGAGGCTTGTTGGTCATACTTGAAGCAACTTTTAAAAATAACCGTCAGCCAGGTATCAAGTATATGTTTACATTAAGCCTCCTTCACTCTCCAAAATGGTACTTTGTAATTGTTTTGATGTAATATATAGTTGCTTTGGGTGGAAAAATCATAATAATTAACGGAAATAAAATCTTGAAAACGTCAGTCTGTGTATATTTAATGTAGAAAACGGGTGTGAACTGTTTTAATACGATAAATTAGTTTTTAATTAGTATTTTATTTTTTGAAAATGATATCTAATCTTTTGTCTAATGTGTGGCAGTTAATATCAAGTTGCTGATGAGTTAAATTTAGACAATATGAAGTTTAACCTGTTTTTCAATATATGCTTTATAACAGCCATCCATGATTTGGCCTTGCAGTTCGTCCATTATATCCCCCACTATTTCATCTGCATGGCTCAACATGTCTGTCCAAAGGGGCCGATTGACTTGAGTGGTGTTAACAACTTCCTCCTCCAGCTCCGGCAATGGGGCCTCTTTGACATTTGTCTTTCCTTTTTGCTTATCCTTCTTGCGCATCTGAGCGGGACGTTTCATCTTGACTTAGAGGCTCTTTAAAAATGAAACAAAATCAGAAGGAGACAGTTGGAAATTATCCACATCTACAATATCACTGCGATTTAAACTCACTGTAGCAATATCGAACATCTTGAAAGCAATAAAATTAACAAATGATCCTGGCATGTCAACGTCAGTGTCTGTGTGGAATTGCACATCATCTCTTCGACTGATTCAAGACTTAACAGACGTTTTTCGTTCTTTTATTTTGTTAACAAGAAAATTGCATTATTTAGCTTCAACTATTGATCCAAATTCCTGTTTAAAAACGGCATAATTGGAACTTCTCCCTGTCCACCAAAGTAAGCAATACAACTGCCTTTTGTAGTCCCAAACACCTAATCTTGCTCAGATGATAGTGTCTAATGGATGAATCCAAGTTTTCTCTGAGAGTCATTGTATTTAAGTGCATCTGGAGTATTCTCTGACTGTAAATATTCAGTTGTCACATCACTTTTGTTAAAAAAAAAAATCAAGGGAATGAGATCATTCACCCTTGTAAATGATCTCCTTCATTTCCTGAAGAAGCATTTGTTCTCTGTCCTTCACTTTAAATTCTCCAGGCCAGCCTGTTGTCTCAGTGAACAACACAGATGTATTTGCACCTTCTGGCGGCTCTTTTCCTCACATGTTGCTCGTGAACGAGCGGGTTAAACACGACTCGATCCAACAGTTGTTAATTGACTAACGCCATTTTGTTAAGTGGTGAATAGCCATCGTTTTAGGATGACTAACTACGCCTGATTGAAAAGAAAGCGGTGTATCTTAAATACGAGACTTCGCCCAATAAAAATGTATTTCGACGGATGGAACATTTGTGGAAAGTATTTGAGACGTACCTCGCTATTTTACACGCGGAATAGCTTTTTAAGGCGCTCAGGTACTCGTCACCCACACGATCTATGGTTGCTCGGCAACCCCCATGACGCAGCACGTAGACGTGCGTTGTCTCTATGGCTGCGGAGGACGCGTCAGTAATCCCGTCGCTCGCTTGAAAGCTGTTGTCTTTTGTATGCAGTGTTTTATACTCCAAGATGACAGCCGAGTACAAAGACAAGATTTGAGTGGTCATCAGAAACAAGGGTATGAACAGTGCGTTTTGAGAAAAATGTAAATTGTAGTGTTAATTCATAGTATTTAATAGCAATCCTTGCTAACATTATTAGCATGCTAAACATAGCGTTCACATTTGCTCCGAAGAAGCGACAGTGTTCGTGTATATATCCTAAATTCATACTGCCCATTGTCTTCTGATTATTTATCGTTTTCTTCTACCTGCAGTGAACGTCAGTTAGCGTCAGTATAACCTCGTTGTAGTAGCTCTGCACCATGTTTCACAAGGAAAAGAGCATTCAGCTTAAAAACAGCGCGTCGGCGCTGTACAACAACCTGAGCGTGCTTCGCATCGCTCCCAGACGCCTTACTTATTTCACAGTCGTCCACGCAAACGTTGTGAACATGGTAAGCACGTCCTGGGACGGCCTCAACTACTCCCACCGTCAGCTGCAGTCCAAAGAGCCCAATGTTGCCACAAGCACGTCGCTCATCATGCAGGTCAGGCAATAGAGCAACTTCAGCTGTTTTACCATCTGCTCACAGTTATCAGTCTCTTATGTTTCATACATGGTGTGTGTGAACAGAATGAAAGGCAAAGTTTTCTTAACCATTCTGTCATTGCTTGCCAAACCAACAGACATCTCTGACAAAGTTAAACATTAACATTCAGTGGGCTGAAAAACTGTTCACCTGATGACTGATCTTCTAAGATTTTTAGAACAACTATGTCAGCACAAGAGCCACACATTCAGTTCAACTTGAGTGGCTCCTTTACTAGTAACACATTCTGAGCCCAAGCCCACGTAGTTCACGTTTGATGCGAATAACAATATTTTTGGGACGAGCATAATATTTGGAAAAGCTGTTTGCTCTTAAAATTGTATTTAGCCCTTGTTACTGCCATTTGTGTATGTGGTACATTGACACTTGATGATGCTTCGCCACTCATAACAGACTACATCTGTCATGAGTCTTTTGTGAGTGATATTTAGTCAGAAAGTTTTTTTAGCAGTATAATAATAATTATAATTGACAGAGAGGGAAGAGTCTGTGACTCAGACCTTTCAATTTTAATCAAGTGAACTTTCTCACTACAGGCTGCTTTCTGTGCTTTACCCTCTCGTGATTTGCTGGTGGTGTCTTCCCAAAAAGGCATCCAGGTAAAGTTATTCTCCATCACTGGCGGGAATTTTTTTTGCGCGACATGTTAGATACACATCGCAAAAAATGTTCCTCTTGACAGCATATTTTCTCCATAACAAATCTGTTGCATAGATGTATGAATCTGACGGCTCGATCATGGTGTACTGGCATGCTCTGGACACGCCGGAAGAACCTACAGGTAAAACATACATAATACACATTCTGTTCGTCCATCCACCCATTAATTAGTGTGAGGTTAATTTGCACAGGAGAAGAATGCAATAACCTAAGCGGACATAACACAAGCACACGTTTTAATTATTGAAAATGCATACAAACTGGATGCATTTCCAAAATACAAAAACAACTAAAACCTGGAAGTGCACTGATAATTTGGTCCCCCATTTTCATAATTTTGGGAAATCTGTGATTGGCTGACACTTAAATGTGAAGCTGAACTTATCCACCGATCCTGTCTACCTTCGCAAAGGTCCACAAAGGTCTAAAATTCAATCGCTATCCTCTATTGCTCTGCCCCGCAGGCCATGTCTGCATGTTTGTAGTGACTTTCTTGCTACATTTTAATTACTACGTTTACTTCAGATCAAGTGTACTAACCAGGCTGAATTCTGTCCCAGCACATGCAGTGTTTGCTCGAGGAATATCAGCTGTCTCTGACAATTACATATGTGTTGGTGAGTACAAATTAAATATGTATTTTAGTACAAATGACCAAATTATTTAAACTGGTGATGTTGTTATCCAGGAGTTTCATCGGGGGCAGTTCTGGTGTTTGATGTTCCCTCTAAAGGGAGCAACATTACCCTGTCTGAGGTATTGGAGGAGCACAAAGAAGCCATCACTGATATTGCTTCAGAGTGTTCCGGCAGCCAGGTACATTGTGTATTTTTTTAAACTTTGCAATTGTGTTATTTAGGGATTGCTTCCACAAGTAATATTACCTAAAATAATTATATAGTACCAAATGGACTATTTGAGAAGGGACAAATTGGATAATCCGTCCGGTTTGCTGTCTTCATCCATTTAGGAGTGCTTAGCTAATCTGGTCACTGCAGATGACGGCGGGAACATGTGTGTGTGGAAGTCTGGAGAGGAATTTCAACTCCTTAACAAGATCCCTGGTTTGGAGTAATACCCTAAATGCTTTTATTCTTTTTTAATTCAAATTTTTACACACAACTTAGCTAAATTAAAGTCTTGTAATGAAAACCCAACTGTAAGAATTTATAACTTGTCTTTCATTGCTGCCGCCCTCACCCTCTTTTTCTCTTTTTTTTTTAACTGATTTGTTGTTTGTTACTTTTGGTCTTCAGTTATTTTAGCCTGTCCACTTTCTTTTGCTTTTGTACCATAATATCTGCTTGCTTTATTTTTCATTTCTAAGTGATATCAATCTTTTGTTTTTCACTCCTCCCTCAGCATAACCTGCTCATCTGTCAAGCTGTGGAAAGGCACAGTGTTGGCGGGCTATGGCACGGGTCAGATCCATCTCTACGAAGCGGTGACGGGAATTCTTCATGCTGAGATCAACGCTCACGCTCGCTGGATCTACTCTCTGGACATCGCTCCCTTTTCTGGTCTGGTAAGTTGTTATCAACCAAATATCCCGCATGAGATGTACACTTGAAGTGAAAACAGAACAAACAATATGAACACCTTTAAACGGTCACGTTTTCTTGTGCATAAATTTGGCATGGGCCAGTGTAAGAGTCTACTTGTTGATAACCTTGAGTAAAATTGTGCTACAGTATTTAAAAGAAAACTTAACACAAAACTGTCGGCTCTGCAGAGGTAGAGCCGACAGTTTGTGGTGCTGTACTTGCATAAAATAGCGATTATTATTGCATGACTTTGTGTTTTTGTGTGTGTTATGATGTAAAGCACTTTGAAATGCCTTGCTGCTGAAATGTGCCATACACATAAAATTAGATTGCTTTTGATTGATGGCGGGCAGGAAAAGTTCAGAAGTCATTCCACCGGCTTTACTCAAACATCCTCTGTATTTGGTTTAGCTTCTGTCTGCTGCTGAGGATTCCTTTGTCAGGGTTTGGCACCTGGCTATTACAGCAGAAACCAACAGTGTGGAGGTAACTGATCAGTATGCAAACTGCACTACTATCTAGTGATGGGTTTTTATTTATTCAATCTGGGCATTAATGTCTTCAATTTTGGGCATTTTAACTTTGCATTTTCACTGTTTTTTATATATATATTTTAAAGGTTTTAATCAGCTTCAAGCCACACAAGATAAAATTTAGACAGACAAGCTCAGATATATATCTACACACCACAAATGTTTGCTTACAAGATCCACCTTTGACACACTGACGGTTTTATGTAGTGGATGGATCATTAAGAGCCCAAAATAAATATGACGCTCATGCCCATTTTGATGCTATATAAACTTCTGAACAGAACTGTAAATAAGAACTGTTTTCATTTACTGTTCACTTGGTTAAATCTGTTGTCCTGTATTTTCTTCTGTATTTTCTGTGAACCAGAAACTAACTTTGTTTTTCTTACATCTTTGCAGATCGCCCACTTACACAATGAGTGTGTGACAGATACACAGATTTGTGGTGCTAAATTCTGTGATGGAGATGGTTATGCTTTTGCAGTGACAGGTTATGATCTGAGTGAAATCATACGGTATGTACAGTCGTAGTTCTTTGTCATGTGTGAAGCTAAGGGCGAAAATGTGAATTTAAGATTTAGTACTTTTATATAAAGTGTACATTAAACATGAAGTTTCCAATAGGGAACATTTTGTGATTTTTTTTTCTGTGTTTGCCTTTATAAATATCTGAAGCAGATTTTAAATGACTAAGTAATGTAAAGAATTTTAACATTTTGTGTCTATTTTATGTAGAAAGTTATATAAGTGCAGTTTAGTTGATTGTTTACAAAGGCAATATTAAATGCTTGAAGATTGATTTTGTGTTTTGGCTTTTGTATCCATTTCAGCATGTAAGCAGTAGAGGGCGCTCTGGGGCAAATATGTGTAGGTCAGTGTTATTGTAATTCATACAAAATCCACTAGAAGGCACGGTAGAGTTGTATAAAAAAATCTACTTTAGCCAAATGAAAGACTCTACATTGGGGCTGGCTAAAGTGGAGTCTGCATGTGTGCAGATCTCAACAGATACACGTCAGATATCAGTAAGTGTGGGCAGATCACAAAGGAAGGGTGGGAGGTTCATACTCTTTCTTTTCATTTTGCACTTTCATTTGTGAACCATCCAGCCATTTTCAATATTATTATTATGGTACATTCATTTTATGACCATTGTTTGAAAATGATACCTCTCAATCAGTTATATAATCAAATTACAAATATCTGTAGATTTTTCATTCAGAATTCTTGGATGACTGAGAAAAGTCCTCTCCACCCAAGCTCCACTTTAAGCTTGTGTCCTATACCACAGGACTGGAGCTTGAGGGTGCTGCAAAGGATCCTAGCTTAGCTTAGCTGACGGCACTCTTATGGGCCAAGGTCTTGGAGTTTGTTTCTAGAATCTACTGTACCCAGTTCTCATGTTTGGGGTTTACAGCTCAAAGAGCACCAATGACCACTGGTAGTGCCGAGGCCTTGACTTTTCCTGTTTCTACTTCATAGTACTTTTGTTTAGGATTCGCACATCTGTCACTATTGCATTCTTTGCATGTGAACTTTTCCTGACTGTATTTTGGACCCAGTTTTTATGTG